CTTTCTCTTTTCCCTTGGGGTCCTGGGCTTTTTTGAATCCAACGTTTGAACCTAGCATGCCTGGGTTCCAGCTTGGAATCCAACGGTTGTTGGGTTTGAATCCAACATGCCTGGGTTCCAGCTACTTGGTTTGAACCCATGGGTTTCAACCGTTGGAACCCAAGTGTGCTGGGTTCGCAAACACGTGGGTTTCAGCAGCCGCTGGGTTCGAATCTAGCACATCTGGGTTCTAGCGGCTAAAACCTACGAGTTCGAACGCAAAAGCCATGGTTCGAACGTGTGGCAACGTGGGTTCCAACCACTGGAACCCAATGGCCGCTGTGTTTGAACCTAGCACGTGTGGGTTCCAACAGTTAGAACCCACGTGTTCGAACCGAGCAACTGCTGCGTTTGAACGCACAGATGCGTGGGTTTGCCACTGAAACCCAACGACTGTTGGATTTGAACCCAATACACCTAGGTTCCAACGGTTGGAACCCAACGACCACTGGGTTGAATGCGTGGGTTCCAACCGTTAGAACCCAGCACGCCTTGGTTTGGGTGATTGCCCGCTAGGTTCGAACGTAACAAATTTTTAGTTTTGTGCAAAAAGTCAAAAAGATTTTCTATTTTTTGTGGGTTTGTTGTTTAATGATGATGATGAATAATTGATTGATGAAGAATGGTGATGAACGTGGATTCAAAGGAGGCAAAGAGAGAAAAAGAAGAATGAAAAAGAAGATTTGAGAAAGAGAAGGCTTGAGGAAGAAGATATGGGTAAAATTGTAATTTTGGTGGGTCTCACTTTTTTTTTTAGTATTGGACAAGAATATAACATGTCATATTGCTCATCATTTTTTCCATTTGTACATTTGACGTGTCATAAAATTTTGTCATGTTATTAAGTCATGTGAGTTAACGACGGATTTTTAATGAAAGGACCAAATTGGGGTAAATTTGGTAAACAATAGGGATCAAGTCAAGAATTTTTTCAATTTAAAGACTAAATTGGAAGTCCGTCCAATAGTTGAGGAACCAAAAAAGAGTTTTAACCTTTATAAAACCCTATCCCCTAGGGACATTATCAGCTCCTACACTATTCTTTTGGCTAATATAAATTTTTTTCACCTAGTACAAACAAAAAATTGACTAGTACAAAATGCAGACTGTACTGACCGTTTTAGCCTTAAAAATGGTCCATGTTGGAAAAAGTCTACAATATCACGGGGATACCACATTAGTGATATCTCATACCAATAAAAATACAACACATCACTCTACATTAACATGTCAGGTTGCTAATTCATCATATAACTGAGATAGCATTTAACAGAAAATTGAAACCTCCGTTAAGGTTGTCGATGAAATCGCCAGCTAAGTTTTGCTTAAACTCAGTAACAGATCTTGAATTTCATATGCAAGCTTTCTAAAAATTTGTCAAGCAACTTGAAATTGTGTAGAATGGAAAGTTTAAAACTTAGAAAAGAAAGAAAATTCATGAGAAATTGAAGGAGAACCAAGAAAGGAACTCAAAAGGAGAGCCCAAGCAGAGAGGAAGAGGGGAATCTGAGAGAAATTAAAGAGATTTTCTTTTCTAAATTGAAAATTTTGAGAGGCTAAATTGAAAAAACCTGGGTATATCTTTTGTGTTTTGTTGTTACCTGGGAAATCATAGAGCTTGGAGAAAATGTTTCAAATGGTAGCGGTTGAGTTTATCATTGCGGAGATTGTTCTGATGCCTATCATCAAAATGGGTAAGAATAATTTTACCTTATAGCTGGCGAGAAGACTTTTCAGTTTTTTTGTCAGTAACTTTAACAAAGGTTTTAGTTATCATTAAATGCAATCTCTGTTAAACGATGAATCAGTAACATGACCTGACATGTTACTGTAGAGTGACGTGGTGTTCTTTTATTGGTTCGGGATACCATTGACGTGGTGTCCCCGTGATATTCTAGACTTTCTCTCCATGTTGACCTATACCGACAAGCGCATCACCAATATTGATATACATAAAAAAAAAAAAAAAAAAAAAAAAGTATACATTTTAAAATTGATCCATACCACCCAAGACTGTGTTAGTAACCTAGTGGACATCAATCTTTTATTAAGGGTTTTTTATGTTAACACTTGAAAGTATAGGGTTCGAGTTTTATTCTCAATCTTAAAAAAACTAAAATTAGTCTAAAACCTTAATAAGTAGTGTTAGGAAAATCCAAGGTTATAATAATTTTTTTTGAACGTTAAGGATGGGATTTAAACCTAATACCTTCAAATAAAAACATAAGATGCCCTTTTACAAAAACGAGATTATTACTAAACCATAGTAACATTCTCATAAAGTTCATAATAATTAAAATTAATTATTCAATAAAATTTACCTTGAATTATTATTATTATAGGTTATAGTACCAAAAATAAAAAATTTTAGTAAATGTTGGGTAGGATTAATAACGATTTTATTTGTTTAATTTTTTTATTGATAATCTTGTATTTATAATATTTTATTAATAAAATTTGTAAAACATAAAAAAAATGAAGTTTTAAGCAGTTTCTCTATATATAAGGCATATAATTTCAATCTCATTTACAAAAAAGATTAGGATAGTACCTTGCAGTAAGGGTATTCACGATGTGATTTGATTCAGATTTTAATATTTTTTAAATTAATTTAATTTAATTAGTTAATAAAATTTTTAAACCAATTCAATCTATTATTATATGATAATCAAACCAATCCAACTTAAATCGGATCGGTGTGGTTTAGTCGAATTGATCCATTTTTAACACTATTAAATATATGAGATAATATAAAAAATTTTAATATTAAATAGAAAATATAGCTATAAAATACATTAACATCCAAATTACTAGAAACATAATAAAATGCATAAATTATAAACAAGTTCTTATACTCATTTACAATTGTAAAAATTGAAAAGATTTGGAAATTCTTCTTGACTACATCACTAGAGGCATCAAGAATAATAAAAAGATAACTTTAAATTTTAAATACAGTACAAATAATTCTTAAAGGTTAAAATTAATTTTTTTTTCTTAATGCAGCAAATGATTTAATCCCATCTTCCAAACCTTGTTAAAAGCAATTAAAATTTAACATAAATGTCATTAGAAATGGTTAGTAGCATTCATAATTAAAATTTAAAACTTCTTAACCAAATATCCAAAAATAGTAGAATATCAAATTTAGTTCTATTATATTGTTTTAAGACTTCTAGAATTATATTTCTTAAAATTTAATTAAAAGAATCATAATATTATTTTAAAAACAAATTTAAAATTTAAAATTCTCAAAATAGAATCATAGACTAGTTATAAGAAATAAAGTTACAAGTGAATTGAAAATTTAGAATTAGACTTAAAGTACACAATTTAGAAAGGAAAATAAATTAGAGAATATAGGGATATTCTATTTTTATTTTTAAATTAAATTAATGAAGTTATCATCTTATAAAATAAGAAAAAAATTTAAAATATTACAAAAAAAATACTATATTATTTAATTAAATTATTATGCATTCGGATTTTATTTTGTAATTAGGTGGTTCAGGCAGTTTGAAAGTAAAATTATAAACCAAACTAATTATATCGGTTTTAAAATTTTATAATTCAAACCAACTCAATTTTATATCAATTTGGTTCAGTTTTTTATTAGATTGGATCAGTTTAAGTCAAATGAATCAGATTGGATTAGTTTAAGTCAAATCAATTAGATTGGATCAATTTAAATCAAATCAATTAGATTAGATCGCATGTAAACACTCTTACCTTGCAGGGGGTCATTTGT